AATTTACACAATTTTTAAAGAGTTCAAGAGTAATGCGACAAATATTTTTAGATTGGAGGAATTTTCATGGAATTAGAATGAGCATCAAATTAGGAACAGTCCCGCTAGGGGTACACCACTTGGTGTACCCCAATTGCACACCATATACTCCCCCCCCCCCCTCTCCCTCACCCACCCCACTTCATTTTCTTCTCTTTCCATCGCACTAATTCCCCATCTTCTCCCTCATTCCTCTATTTTCCCTGTCACGGTTCTCTTCTTTTTCTTGTCCTCCAGGCCACCACACCACGCCGTCGGGAATCCATGGCGCCCGGCTTTCCTTTCTTACCACGCTGCCGCCACCGCTGACTAGCGACGATCTTTCCACCCGTCTCCGCCACTGTCCATCAACCACTCGCTATTATTTAGGGTATGAAATCCACAAATTTTTAATTTCTTCACTTTATTATAATTATCATTTGAACTCTTTTTTTAGGCTTTTTTAAATTATTTGTACTCCGTATTTGAATAGGATGTTTGTATATAATGTCTTGATTATTTGATATTAGATAGCTTGTATATTGCTATTTCACACGGACGATTATCGTCTGGGTCATTGAAACTTACAGACAATTGTCGTCTGTGAATCATATATCACAAACATATGTCGTCTGTGTATATAGCTTGCATATTGCTATTTTTGTGCTTATTACGAAATGTCTGTGTAGTGCTTGTTTTTAGTGCAACATGTCTGTATTTTATTCAAGAGTCTGCTCAATTTCATAACTTGCTTTGAAATGTCTATGATGTGCTTCTTGTTGGCACAAAATGTCTGTATTCAAAGAAAGAACTTGTTCTGATTCATAGATTACTCTAAAATGTTTGTGATGTGCTTATTACTGGCGTAGAATGCCTGCTTTCCAGTTAATAGTCTACTCAGTTTCAAAACTTGTTATAAAAAGTCTACACTCTCATCACAGACATTTAATGTTTGTAAAGCAACTCTTACAGACACGTAATGTCTATAACACATTTAACAGACACTATCATCTCTGCAAAAGTTTACCAATATCTCTTAAATCTGCTCATCTAATTCCAATAGCTTCTAAAATGTGTTCCTAACGAAGTGATATTTCTTAATTGTTTGTTAAGTTTCAGAATTGGACTCGTGTTCCCTTGTGGTTGCTTTTGGTGTGGAAGATTGAACATTGGAAGATTGGAGATGGTTGCTTTCGGATTTCTACTATAAAATTAAGAACATACTGTAATGGTGGAAGATTTTGTATGCTATATTTGCAAAGCCGATTGTACAATTGTTTTCCTTTTATTAGAATTTGTTTTCACTGGTAGCTTGTAGGGTGTTTGTTTTTTTAGGGGCTTTGGATTAGTTCACTCATCTGATCTCCTCTTGTATCTTTTGATAAAAAATGTCTTTGTTGCATTAATCTCTTTGAATACATCACTCACACACAATTAGTGTTTATGGTTGAGCATTCACAAATAGTAAATGTATAGGAATTATATATCTAATTCAATGATTGTTTGTGATAAGAGATCTGAATACTTTATTTTGACTTTCAGATACACGCAATTTCACTCAGAGTACACAGACAGTAAATGTATGTGTTCAAACAATTACAGAACTTTAGTGTCTGTGTAACTTAAACAACGTTGATTGTTGTTTTTTCTTTTGTTTTAAACATAATTAAATTTGTGAAATGCTCTTGATACTCTATTATTTGGCATATTTAACAGGTGAAATTTTCATCCATCTTACATAAATAATAAATGTCTATGTATCAAGAATTATATATATTTAGTGTCTATATAACGAGTATGCTTTTTTGTGTTCAAAAAATTGTGAAGTGTTCTTGTAACTGAATGATTTGTCATATTTGACGTATTGAGTGTGTTTGGTCACGAGTATGCTTTTTTATGTATAATTATCTATCACATAGACATCTACCGTTTGTGTCATTGAAAGATTGCGGCCAATCTTCCTAACCGCGCGCGGGCCGGGCTTAGAGCGCGTGAAACTCATCACTACCTCGTAAGGGCGTTGAGACCATAGCATGTTACACGAAAGCGCCGCTTTCTCTGTAGTGTTGTCACACAGCTGCCCGCCTAGAAGAGCCACTCGCTCTGTAGTGTTGTCACACAAGATAAGCACGCCGCCCGCCTGCTGGCCGGGCGAATCTAAGTTATCTTCCGGTCAACTGTCC